AATATATTAGGAAATGAAAAAACATAAATATCTAAAAGAAAAATATGACATTATCTTTTTTCCACTGGTAATTTAAATAGCTTAAAATGTATCGATCCAAATTTTTCACTTTTTGATTTGCTTCCAGCCAACATAGAGTAACAGGAACCAGATCTAGTCTCTCATCTGAAACAACCAAATGACTGGACAGAATTGATGAACAATGATGTTCAAGATATCAGACATCAGGTAATGAAGAATAGTGACCCCCCAAAGATGGGAATCAAACAAGGTAAGGCTTATGACTGTCCTATACAGAATTTATAGATCATGGTTCAAGCAGAACAAAGGTAGAGCCTGTTAGAAAATCTGAGTTGAGGAAATAGAACTGAGAGTCTAAGGAGTCTAAGGCACCTGGAGTGTGCAGAATAGAATACCAGCAAAGAAAGAGTTGCACAGAAAGAGAGATCTGGATAAGGACTCCCTCAAGTATTCACAAAAGTACCAATCAGGACATGAATGTGAGGAAACTACCTAAGACTTGGAAGAGAACTAGAAGGATGCATTTAAGGTAACAGTACCCAGCTCACATAGACTTAGAAAATCAAATAGTTCATGGGACATTGGCTAGAGTATTCAGTAGACTCTTGCCTATTTGTGAGAAATAATTAGCCATATATCAAACACTGCTCTGGTCTTCCCTAACAAATCACAAAAGCAAGACCAACAATGATTAAATTGTTTTCAAGTAACTTAACTACAAGTTCAAGAATAGTTACAGAAATACAAAAATATTCAGCACCTACCAAGGAAAAATTCACAACATCTGAGATCCAGTCAGACTACCATACATGTAAAGAAGCAGGAATATAATAATTTTTGTAATGAGGAAAAAAACAACAATAAAAACCAACCAAGAACTAACATGGCTATTAGCCTTAACAAACAAATGACATTAAAACAATTGTTATAACTGGATTTTATATGTTCAAAACATTAACTAGGGACATGAACAATATATATTTTTTAAGACTCGAAGAAATGTACAATGGCTGAGATGAAAAATATACTGAATAGTATTGAGGGCAGATTAGATGTTTCAAAAGAAATAATTAGTGAATGTGAAGACAGAATAAAAACTATTCAAAATAAACACAAATAAAAGAAAAATAATTAAAGATTTAAAAGCATTAATGAGC